TATATATATATATATATATATATATATATATATATATACATACACATACACATACACTTTATCATAAACCTATAAAACACAGGTAAATAAAGCATAGAAATACTGATCCAGAGTCATGTTCCAGGATCACAATATCATGCCTTTCAGTTTCCATTATGCGGTTAAAAATATTGAGCATTTACTGCAAACCACTGAGGCGGCTAATATGAAATTTGACAGCTTTTGATCTCCTGAGATAAAAACGTACAGTTAACGAGATTTCGGTCACAGACGATTCCCTCTGCCCGCCCTGATTGCCACCATGACCTGGATAGGCAGCTAAAAATGGATAGTTGAAAGGATGGATAGACGGATGGATGGATGGGTAGCGACTATACTTCCACACACAGGCCCTTCAGAATGCAGCTTTTGCTTGGATAAATGTAACAACTTCTAAATCTACACAAGAAACACTACAAAAACATATAAGAGGAGATGATTTCTATCAGATTGATTTCTAATTATGTAAGGTAAAAAGTGAATTAATAGCAAAAATACTACATTTTATTATGACAAAGAAACCGTTTTTACTGTGGTTCATGGTCAATAATACCCTATCTGCTGAACACGTGCCAATCTGCATCCCTACATAATACCATCGTAAAGAGATCAACAAATCATGTAGGAACCGATCAACGTTTCTGGTCAGGTTCAATGCCAGGTAAATGCAGTATGTTGGGTAATGATCCTTATTGTCCACTCATATTTCTAACTATCTGATACCATGACTTAAGCAACTCACTTTTTACAGATTCACACTTTCATCAGTATAATGGTGTGGAAAGACCAAACACAGCATAAGTGATCAATAAGAACAACAAAAGGATGCAGTCTGTAAAAAAAAAAAAAAAAGCAGGTTTGATTGGGAACTATGGCACAGAAAACACCTATAAAAATACTTGGACAATAATGTAAAAGACTGCAGCTGACCTTAGCTGCATCCATGTGCCTCTGAATGTTCCATGTTATATCATTGACCTGTACATTCACTGCCATGTGGCGAAACAGACGTTTAGAGTAGTTTTACCTCGATAAAACGCCACAGCATTTCAACAGGCAAGTCTCAACAATGTCCCACGTATAAATGGGGAATTTATCTCGATGCAAACCTGAACTGTGAAGACCTCTGACCTGCAGACACCAACCCCTCACAGACTGCATTCACACAGGAGTCAGTTTTGACAGCTGGGATCAACAAGTAAACAAGTTCACGTGTCACGTAACACCGCTAAACAGTGTTAACTTACACCCCCCTCCTCCTTTAATGTACTAATGTAAAGCATGTGCTAACGTTAACGTGATGCTCCATCTAAAAAACCTCTTCAGCTACAAGCTACCGTTAGCTTGCTAGCTTGTAGCTGTCTGTTAGCTGCCTCGGCTCAGGTCAAACACAGAAACACACCGCACGTGAAAACAAAGCGAATACGGTTGTTTAGTGATTGCGGTTAAAGTGACGCCAAATATTGTAGTAAACGTCTCTGTTTAAGGTCAGTTTAGCCTTCATGTTATGCTAGCATGCTAGCAGCTAAATGAATGGGGGGTTGGGCTAGCCTACAGCATCCAGCAGCCTCTGTTAACCGCTATCAGACAGAAATAACTCACCTGGTTATAGTGCACCCTGAACGGTTTCAGATAATCGGACTCTGTGCACGGAGTGACTTCAACGTTATTAATCTCTTCCATAGTTTATACTTGGAGCTGGATTGTTGGCTCACCGATGGGTATCTGTCGCCGCACACTCACTGACAGTAAAGGAATGTCTACGGAAGCCGGGAGAGGACATGAGACTGCACCGCGAGGGTGGCACGAGAGGTGAAAGGATATTAGGAATGGAAGGCACTGTAGCTGATAATAGTAAATACTGATTCAAACTTTTTAGGGAACAATAGCTCGAATAACGACTCTAAGTATTGCTTAGAAGAAGTATTTGTATTGTTGCAAATAAGAATTATACTACAAACTTTTAATTGTACCTTTCATAATATCATCAGTGGTGTAATCAAATCAAATCAACCGTGTAACTAAGTGGGCTACCTTTATTATCAGAAGTATTGTACTTTACTTAAGTAACGCAATTTCATCCTGCTTTATACTTCTACTCTTCTACATTTTGGGGGAAAATAATGTATCTTTTGCTCCATTGAATGTATTTGACAGCTGCAGATTTAGATTATTAATACAAAAAAAATCAACAAATTCACTGTTTTATATTTATATGTTAAGCAAACCAGCAGTATCAGCCCCACCTTCATTAGCTGCAATATTAAATTGATGTACAGATGTACAATAATGCATCACCAATTATTTTCAAGTAACATTATAAATATTATTCTGAGATGGGCAATTCTGCATAATGAATACTTTAAAATTTGGTACTTAAAGTATATTTTGATGAGGATATATATTCTTTATACATTTCGCTAACAATATGTCATCATACAATAATTTAGGGTAGACTACTGGAATACAATCTGAAATAAGGATGCATCTCATCGTTGTGTTTTGGTGTTTTAAACATTACATTGATTGGCTCAGGGGAAGGTTACATGACAGTTACCAATTGGCCCAAAGGAGGAGAGCATTTTATATTAAGGGCAGCATGTTTAGTGTTTTTTTTGTGTTATTCTGTTTCATAAAAATTCTTTCATTAGTTTACTCAACACCGTTTTAGTCAATGCAACAACGCAAGATTTTTTGACCATCTAAACTCTATTTTCACACATTGTATATGATAAAAGCCTTTTTTGCAGATGGAAAATCTGCATTGTTTGTGTTTCTCAACTGATAACTAAAATATAACCCTATTTATTTTACAAATATAATTTATGTTTCTAGTTGCCAGAAAAAAAACCTTTAGGTCCACTTACTAGCTTTTTGTGTTAGCTTTTAACTGGTCTATACAGTCTTCATCAGCAGATTTAAGAAAAGTACGATGGTGTTCAAAGCTCCAGAAAAAGATCCAGATGTTTTGTCAAACTACATGACAGAAATATCTTCCTCAAAATGTCATCAGGTTCGGAAACGTTAAAGGAATAGTTCAACATTTAGGGAAATCCGCTTACTTACTTCCTTTCCAATATTTAGATAAGAGAAGATTGACACCACACATATTTGTAAAGTAAATATAAAGATGTGATGAATATTTGTCGTTTCACAAGGAGTCGTGTGCCAGACTTTTTACTGGCCGGGACAGTGAAGACTCCAGGAAGTTACTGTTTCTGACCAAAATAGTCCAGCACTTAGCCCACTGTAAAACCACAATGTGTCGTTTTTCGACTTAGATTTTTGCACATATTAAACAAACGAGATATAATGTGTAAATTAATAAACTTTAGGGATCCTGGGAGGTGGATTTTCTTACTTTTGGACAAAGCCAGGCTAGCTGTTTCCCCCTGCTTCCAGTCTTAATGCTAAGCTAAGCTAACTGGCTGCCAACTGTATTGCTCTATTCCTTTAACAACTCAGACATCATCAGTTAACATTGATTGTTATGGTTGTTATTGATTATGAATATATGTTTGGATTGACAGCTTGTTCCAATCCAATGTTTGTTGAGTTTGTAGAGCCCCTTGTAATGGCCGATACAGCTTCATATTAAACATGATGCGAGGTCCAGCACCCTCACTGTGCTGAGCAATGAATAAGAGATGGGTGTGGGAGCTCTTTCTCACCAACCCTGCCTTGAAGGGTGAGGCTGCATGATGTCACCCCCCTCACATCAATAACAGCCTTATAATGGGAAACAATCTGCAGAGCTCCAATCTCCATGGGGCTGACTTCCTCCAACAAATGAGCCCCGTCCACCACCCTCTACACAAGGACAGGACGTAACACTTTTTGAGAGCTGATTTACATCTAAATAAATACATGCCTAGACGAAACAATGTGCGGACCCAACAGAGGAACCGGCGTCTCTCCTCTGGGCACGTCCAATTTATACTGCCCGATCAAGCCAAGCTGCAGGACACGATAAGACGGAGGGGTGGAGGGGGGTACTGCAGAGTTGAAGTATTGTACTGGAGTCAACCTGCTCTGGTTTGCTGAACACAAAGAAACTATGGCAGAAGAATGAGGGGTTGAAATGTACTAAAGCATAAAGAAGTAAAATAATATTCCCTGTTGTCAAAACAAGTATTTCACACCATTATTAGTGTTCAGGGTTTGGGAAAGTTCTTTTTGGACAATGGCTATCGAATCCCGACTTTTTCCCTGTCACCTTGGCAAAGCAATGACTGGTAGCACCGAAGTAGTTTTAACCAACTTCAAAGGGTCTCCAGATGAATCTGAGGGGTCTTGAGATGATTACTGGGAAAGGAAAGAAGCGAAAACAAAGTTCTTATAAACAACTTTTTTCTTTGATTTTCGGGAAATATTAGGGGGATATTTTTGTGAAAGGGGTCGGAAGACAAAAATGTTTGAGAGTCACTGCTTTGAACTTTAACAATACACTAAATTCAATAATCTTAATCCACGTTTTATGTTCAATCTTAATTGAACAGACAGTAACTATAGATGTTAGTAAAATGTAGTAGTTGTATAAAGTGGCATAAGGACCTTAAAATCGTACTTAAGTACAGTACTTGAGTTAAAGGGGACATATCATGCTTTTTTTCATGTTCATACTTGTATTTTGGGTTTCTACAAGTTTACATGCTTTAATGTAAAAACAACACTTTACGGGTCACTTCTTTGTGAACTTTGAAATACGTGGAAAGTTCTTTCAGTGGAGTCAGCAGCAGAAACACTCGACTTCATTCCTACATAGTGGACCGTCCTGACACTGATTCCTGTCTTGGGCCTCATTTGAGCATCACCCACAAAAAGGCCTCCGAAAATCTTATCAGGTCCGGAGGCACCCATAATGTGTTAACCCCATCCTTCCAAGAACACGCGGGTGCGGACTCCTTGCAGTCACGACCAATTACAGCCTGCATGCGTCTGATGCACGCCAGACTTCTCCTAGCTTAGCTCAACGCCAAACCTGGAGCCTCCTGAAGCCACCGAACCTTCTCTTCCTGTCTGCCCTGCTCTGCCTCTTAATGTCTTACTGTGTCTATCTCACTTTCATTTTTCGGCTGTTTTTTTTCATTAAATCATAATTTTTTACAGTTATTTTCCCACAGTTCAATACTTTCAAATTGTTGGTATAAAATCAGTCACACACTGTTTACTCCCTTTACTTTAGCAACTTTCATTTATTAGTGATATTGATTAGTGATATTGATTTTTAGTAATATCAAACTTAGTCTGTTCTCTTGAATAATGAAAAGCCGTTTGATACTTATTTATGAAGCAAATCAAATTATCGATGTCGATAAACTCTACTTCAACAGCTTGATGATGATTATTCTAATTTTGGAACTTGACTTCAGTGAAGTTTGGTGTTTTTTGTGTTGTGGAAATGCACTTACTCTGTGTGAATGTTGTCTTTTTATCAAATAAGATAATGCTCTTGGAGGAAAAAACATATATGGATGTGGATTTTATGGCCCACAACATGGACCATAGTAGTTGCTGAAACTGTGGACTAACCCTTATTTTAAAGGGAAAAGCTCTCCACTGGTCTATCCATAGCATAGTTTATCAGCCAGGGTCAAGCAGGGATTTCGGCCAGAGGCTCGGGGAATGCACTTAACCAAGGTGGCTGCTGTACCTCTGTTAGCGGGCTCAGGGTGTGGGTCAAGATGGCCGGTATCCACCCGTCCAGCAGTCTGGACGTTCAGCCGCCACTCGCCTTGTCCAGGAGACGCTCCTATATCCTCCAATGTGAGCTTGGATTTCAAAATAGGGCCTTGTGTCAAAAGGGCACTCGATAACGCAGCTCAGACAACTGTTGTTCGGTGTAGGTGTGCGAGGAGTTGATGGTGGATCCGAGGTGAGGACAGTGAAACATGAAGGTGACAGGACTGGTGTTCACATTGTTACACATCTAAAAAATATGTATGAATACGACTTTTTTAAAAGGATCAAAAAACATATTCAATAAATGTTTTTATACACATATTCAGAGTTGTAGACTTGGAATCGAGTCATACTTAAAGCTGCACGAATGAATATTTTTACACTATATACATGTGTAGTGTTTTGGATACTTTAAACTCATTGTTTTGGTTTTATGGCCCTCGGCTTTAATGTTTTGGTTTTGGTTTAATATTGGACTTACATTTATCAGATGACCCAAGACACCACTTCAAATGAATGCTAATGTTTCCCCGTGTCTGCTTGATGTGCAAACTGTTTAACAATTTCCCCACATTCAACTTTATAAAGTGACGATATGTGAATGTTGTGTTTAAAGCTTGTTGCACTGTTCCCCAAGTGGACAAAAAAAATCAATTAATGCAAATTTAAGTAAAAAAAAAACAAGGACATGAGTTATCTTTTGCATTGACCTAACTGAGACCTGAAGAATTAACTTCCCTAGAAAGCTAAACCATTCATGTCCCAAGTTTTGGCTGACCTTAAATAGCCATACATCCATCCATTATTGGTGACCGCTTATCCTTTACAGGAGCGCGGGGGGGCGGGAGCCGATCCCAGCTGCTTGGTTGAGAGGTGGGTACACATGTCACCGGTCAATCACAGGGCTGACACGTAGAGACAAACCACCATTCACATTCACATGGGCAATATTACACTCAACTATTAACCTAACCTGCATGTCTTTGGACTGCGGGAGAACCCGGAGAAACACAGTGAGAACAGAAGGGCCCAAGCCGGCCAGGGAGTTCAAACCCAGAACCCTCTTGCTGTGAGCCG